TTTATCCAATAAAATATGAGATATTTATAATCCAATAATATTAAATGTTATAACGAAAGGTCATTATACAACAATATTTAAAATACTGGAATTCAAATCATAAATTAACTCAATATTAAAAATTTTAATGGAAATCATTTTTTAAATATCTTGTATCAATTGATTTTATTACAAATTTTGTGAACTTAAATTTGTTTAATTCATTTAATCAAAATAAATATTCTTTGTATTTAAATCACAAAAATTGGTTGAATATTAAGAAAAATATAAGCATGTAAAATTGATTGATTTTTTTGATATTTTTTTAAAATTATCAATATTGATTAGAGTTAGTAAGAGTTTTTCAAATATTCAATTTTTTCATATTAATTTTGTCACAATCAGATCCAGAGAATTCTTTGATAAGTATTTGATGTTTTTTATTAATATTTTTAATAAAATAGAAATCTTTAAACAAAAATAATCTTGAAAAATTAATTTCAATAAAATTTTTAATTGATTAACTTATTTTTGCTATCAATCAAAAATACTAAAATTACTTGTTAACTATAATTAGTACTTTTAGTGTGAATTTATTCAAAGAATGTTAAAGTTCATTGTTACTAGTGAGCAAATTTTTATTAGCTATTCAATTTTGGTCACATGATTGCAATCCTGATCGGATTTTATATATAAAACGTGTAACTATCTGGCTTTAAGCGCAAATTGAGAATTGGTTCTACAAGTAAATTTTTTCAAATTTTAAGAGTGAGAATTTTTTATTCAAATAATTCTATTTTAATAATAAATTTTATTTAAATAAAGTTGCTCGGTTTAACTGTTAAAAAAATTTAGATTTCCAGACAAAGAAACAAACTGTGTTACTTACGCTTGAATGCTAAAATTTGTTAGTTTACGGAGTTTCTTTTACATCATTCGATTTTATATCTTTCCGGTTTGTGCGACCTGCCACATTTGTGTATCGACAATAATTTTTATTATTGTTAATATCAAATTTTCATCTTGTTATTGTTTTATGATTATAGTTATAAATAAATAAAATAGATTTAGAGGATTTTGTTTAATTAATTTTTAAGTATATACATACAGACTACACAGTAGATTTTTAATGATGATGATGAAATCCAATATAAAGAGATTAATTATGATGATGAAATGAAGGTAAAAAGACAAATATAAAAACAAGAGTTGCGATCTATTTTAAAATAATAAACAATGCGAATATTATTAAAGGTTTTATTTATTTTTTATTTATGATGATGAATTTATGTTTAATGTTTGATGATGATGATTTGATTGATGGATTATTATTACTATTATAATAGTATAGAAAAAAAATGTTTTACAAATACAGAAATAAGAAAAATAATAGTACTAGAAGTAATGATAGTGACAGTAATAAATAAAGTAATATGAATTAAAATAGATATATAGTAAGTCAAAATTTTGGATAAAAAGTATATAGGAAACAAACCAAAATAAATAACATAGATAATAACAAAAAAAAGGATAACGAATGATTTTTTGGGAAGGAAAGGATAAATCAAAAATATGACGAATGATTTTTTGGGATGAATAAAAAAGGATGTCGGCTTTTTTTGGGGGAAAGGGAAGGATAAATAAATAACAGCGTGAATGTCACGCTGATACGCTATGTTAAGGGAAAAAAGTTCTTCGTAAGATAAATGTATGTATGGTGGTAGTATTTGGATAAATAAAAATGAGCTTGTGTGTAAAAATTTAAACTCAAAAGAATGCAAAAATATATATAAACGAATGAATGAAAAAATCCCTGAACCCAAATTAGACAGAAAGAATAATAGTCTGTATTTTTGATCCGGTGATGCTATATTGTAATAAAATGAAAAACGTATGGCTCTTGATCAATGTCTCTCCAAAAATCTATGCACAATAAATTATAGACGTCCCACAAAAAACTTTTCATCTCCAAATCCGATTCATCTTTATCGAATCATCGTAAAAATGAAACGCGTGATTATTTTATTTTCTTCCCTCCAATCAATAGTGTATATATATTATATCATTTCATTGGGTATTCCGCCACCACCATTTTTCGAAACTGGCATTGATGAAGATGCAGAAGGCGATATATTACGCTCATTCATCATCATCATTTCTTCCAATTCACGATGTTGTTCATTAAAAACTTCGTACATAGAGTCACGCTGCGTGAAATTCCGCACGGTCAGTCTTCTTTGTTTACGTAATTCGCGATCACTCAAGTTATCATCATATGATTGATGATTATTATTTGCAAATAACTTTTGTTGGGTATTAGCATACTGAGTAGAATCACTGTAATTTGATTTTTGTGTTGATGACGTATTTTGAATTTGATATGATGAATTATCATGGGTATTTAGAGCTGAGTTCGAATGAAGTAAGGCTAAATTAGCACTTTGTGGGTGTGGTGATTGTGGAGCAGAAGAGGTCGAGTATCCGGGTATGGGTGATTGACGTGGACTATTTTGATTCATGTTCGGGTCTTCGCCAGAAGATTCACTCTCAAGGTCATCGTCTTCCATTTGTAGTTCTAAATCATTGACTTCGTCGTCATCGTCATCGCTACGATTTAATGTTTTAACTATGGGTAAAAAATAGTTAATTTAGCACAATATTAAAAACCATAATAACTAAGAAATTTTCGATATTTCTATAATCAAACTAACTAACCAGTCATTTTTCGTTCTAATCCAACCACAGAATCTGGCGCATTATCAAGATAATGTACACTATTTCGATTACTCCTACCTGACAACTCATCACGAATATCTCGTCGACGCATAGCCGATTTTGGTGATAATGCAATTATAGGGTCTTCATCGGATGCAGGATCTTCAGGATTGGCAATCGAATTAGTAGAAACCTTGGTGTGTATCGGTGTAGTACGTAACGAAGAAGCACTAGGTCTTCTGTTATTATTGGTGTGACTCACTGTTTCCGGTTCTTCAATGCTTCTGGGTGCTGCTAGACCATCTCCATCGATAAAGAAGATATACTCGAATTCCGCCATGAATAGACTGAATACTCCGGCTGGAATACCCAAGGTCGGCGAATAGACAATACCAATATTGCGTACTGTCATTTTATTGATATCTGAATTCTGAACTACTCTTATTAAGTGTCCGGTAAGAGTGCGAAGTAGTGTATAATTTGCTAACGGAAGTGAAGAGACAAGGCGACCAAGTTCATTTACACGGTCCCGTCTTTCGAGAAGGTCTGGTTCATTATATAATAAACGTAAAAAAAATTATAAGTCCAAATTTAATTGGGAAATTAAGTTAAATAATAAAAATAGGACATTTTTATTTTATGCCACTGGTTAGATATAACCAATAATCATTTATAATCAAACCATGCCCTTACCCTAATTTTATTATACTATAACCAGTGGCAAATTAAATAATAATTCTAAAAATAATAATAAAATTACCAATGACATTGACAAATTCCATATGCAATTCACGGGTCAGCACACTAGTCGGTAATTCTCTCAGGTATGCTTTCAAGACTCCAGCAACCGCATGCACATCATAATATTCGCCCTCAGCTAATAGATTTACATCACCCTCTGTATTAAATCGTTCGCGCAATATTTTTATCGTGGCACTTGAGCCACTCAATCGATAAATTCCTTCCTCAAATGCAGCATTCTTGGCATCCAGATATTCAATACATCGATACACGACAGCTGGAAGTTCATATCCATCTTTTATTCTTGCCACAGAAATTGCTTGTTCCAGCGGAACACCAAACACAACTCGACTCTGATCTGGAACAATGTCAGGTCGATGTTTCTTTTCGTCTTTTCCTCCGCCAAACATCGATTTACCAAAGAAAGTCATTCTAACACCTTTTCGATCTTTGTCTTTTCTGTCTTCTTCCGCTCGCCGTGTTACTCCATTCGAAGGAAATACAGGTAATAATGTGGTAGCACCACCACCTGCCGCTAATGATGATGATGGTTGCTGTTGAACCGGAGAAACTTCTTTTGGTTCGGGTGTCCCAGCCCCTAATCTCGTAAGATTATTACTACTATTATTGTCAGCCTCCATCATACTTACACGTTTGTTGGATTGATTATTTGTAGACACAGCTAATCTGGATTGTAAATATGATGCATCTTGTTGCTGCTGTTGCTGGAACAGCGAATTATGATTTGTTGGTAGACTAACAGATAATTGAGAACTAAAACTTTGAGTTGATGCTACTGAAGATGTCACATGATGAGTTGGAACGTAGGCTGAGTTGCTGTTACTTGATGAAACTTGCGCACCCGAAATAGAATCATGATTAGATTCTCCATCCGCGTTGTGATTTTTCCTTGATATCGAATCACTACTTCCTTTCTTTTTCGTGGGAGAAATATTACTCTCTTGTCGTATTTCTTCCCTGGCTTGCTGCAACACCGCTTCGCTAACAATCAGCTTATAATTATTTTCATCACGTCCAAGTTGCGAAATTGGCTGTGCATTAATCTTTTCGATGTTTTGTTTGGCGAGTTTTGTCGCCTTTTCTTTCCCACGTTTTCTCGTCTCTTGATGATCAGCCTCACTTACATTCACATATTGTAATAGAGCATTGACCCACTGATCTCTCTCGGCATCACTTTCAGCACATAAAACGTGTCTATTTCCTTTCGAGCTTTGCTTCGATTCCAAAATCAGGAACGCATGACGGTACGAATTTTCGTTGCCCGTTTGATCGGCATCAATAGGGGTGGTGGATTGTTGACGACCAATTTGTGCATTCGTTAGTCGAATAGTGCCCAATTGATGACCATCTTTCGATTCGTAGTATTCTAGCATGGGGCTTTTCAATACAAAGTAGCGCGTTTTCCAACCACCAATCTTTTTACCTCTTTTTGTCAAATATCCTTCTTTATGACCCATCGCATTCTAAACAAGCGAAAATTTTTATTATTTTTTATATAGATAAAGAAATTTCTATACGAATAATTAATAAGTAAATAAACTCACTGAATACTCCTGCTCATCTTGTTCAACAACGTCTGTACTCAAAAATTCACATAAATCTTTAGAATCTTTGAGTGGTAACGAAATAATATGCTTTAAATAATTTTCAAGTGCCAACTTTCGCTGATCAACTTTACTTGGTGCATTATTAGAAAAGAGATTCTTGTCAGGCAATTTGCCAATTTTTAGGCTACGATTTTGACGTTGTTTTAACTATAAACAAACAAACAAAAATAAATTATTCAAAATACCAAATTAGAACTTATTACTTTATCGTTGTATTTTGGAAAACTCACCTTAGCGTCCAAAGCCAAAAAATCAGAATACAATTTTTCAACTCTCCATAATTCTTCTTCCATTCCGATAATAATTCCGTCGTGTACTTTTGCTCGTCCAACCGAAATAACAAAGGCTAACACCTCTTTACCTTTTTCATTTGTTTTGATATTACTGCCTTCAACCCTCACCGAGATTCCAGATATGGCATCAGATGATATTAGTGTTGGTGTATCAGAACGCTGTAGACTTGGTCTTGGTGCGCTTTGATCTTGTGCCGTGGGATGCTGTTGTTGCTGCTGCTGTTGTTGATGAGATGTTTGTGATTGAGATGGTGAGTTTCGCGGGGGACTTGATTGCATTATAGGTCGTCTTGCTGGAGGTGATAATGAATCATTAGTAAAGGTATTTGAGGAAGTCAATGAGTGTAAATCATTCATGGAAAGTTGGTTTTTTAAATGATGTTTTCGACCCTCGGAATTCGGTATTAATGCTGATGGTGTTTCGATAGCTAGTAAAAGTGGAGATTGACCTTCTTCCACTGGCAGTGAATTTGATTTCATAAATACAGCACTATTTCGATTTTTTTTCATCGCCGGCACACCCAAAGATTCTTCTGAATTAGATGGATAAGTAAATACCGGATCATTACCATTAATATCTCCAGATTGTAGATGATGATGTGATATTTGCAGGTCATTCGGCATTGATACTGTAGAAATACGTTTATTTTGATTTTGTGACATTGATTCAAAAGACTTTGCATGTTTCGGGAATTTTAGATAATTATCACCGCTAACACTATTATTGTTGGTATTAGCACCTTCAGGTGTTGAAAGCAAAGTGTTTAGATTTGGCACGCTATTTATGTGTGTCAGAGATCCCGTACTACTGTGTTTATGATTTGAATCACGTGTCACAGTATCTGTTGTGATGGTAGAACTCATCTCATTGGTAGTGTCTTCTCGAATCGCTACTAACTCATTAACTGGCAATGAGTGAGTATGTAAGTGTCCATTTCTATGAGTTGAATCTTTGAAAGTTTTACTAAATGCTGGATTATCCCGAACGATATTATTTAAGTGGCCCGATTCTTTTTCATCGCTTTCACGCCTAGAATTATGTGAATCGGTAGAGAAATGCATCATATCGTCGTTCTCTTCATTTACAATTTGGTTATTAAATGAAAGGACTCCAGGTGGAGGCCCGGATCTCGGTGACTTAGGTAATCCAAAGTTTACTTTATTGTTACGCGGTGAAGTGGGACTACTGGACTCATCACTATGAACGGAATTTTTTCGAGGTGGTAATTGACTTAGTCGATGATTTGCTATTTGATTTTCTTTTGATTGACTATTATTACCACTACCAGGGAAAGTCGGCGAGGCAGTAGTGAATTGAAAGACAAGAGAATCCTCGAATTCTGTACCATTCGTGTCATTGCGCTTGTGTCGAGTTCCTTCACCACTACCAGAAGATCCGGATGATTTAACCGACGTAGGTGACGAAGGATTTTGTTTTGGTGAAGTTTGTGACGATGATGATAATTGTTGTGTACCATTCATCAATTGAGTGATTAGATTGGGAGATGATGATGATGATTGGTCACTATCAATTGAAATTGGGGTATTTGAACGACTATCGATTCCTTCCTCTCCATCTCCTCCCGATATTCCATTTGAAGCATCATATGCAATTTCAGAAGATGGCGGTGGCAGCGAAGACGATGGTGAGTTACTATTACTAATGCCCGAATTTTTTATAATCCCATTAGTTGTTTGTTGTGGCTGTGAAATGATTTCGGTTTGAGGCTGATGTTGGTTTGAGGAAATTCCTTGATTCTTGGCATTATTATTATTATTACTACTATTATTATTAGTATTAATATTATTCGGATTATTGTTAACGTTTTCTTCGATATTTGCCAAATTCGGCGCAGCCGACTTTTGACTCAAATTCGAAATAATATTATTGTCCGATGTTATCAATTTATTATTACTAATAATGCTACTACCATTGTTATGATGATGATGATGGTCGGTTCTAACAATATTCAAACTTCCACCTCTTTTAACCGATACACCACCAGCACCTCCGAATTCCTCATCTTGCAGCCAAATTCGACTCAACGCATCACCCCCGCTTGCACCACCAGCCTCCTTTAATTTCACCAATAGCCTGTCTTTTTCATAAAGCAATTTTTTATTGTCATTTTGCAAATTATTTATTATTTGCTTTTGTTTTTCAATGATTTTCCATAGTTGGTCGTTTTGTGAACGTAGATTGTTACGTTCCTTGACTATTTCTTCCGTTGTTTGTTGTTGTGGTTGTTGCGTCCCGCCGCCATTACTATTAATTTTGGTTATGTTTCCGTTTTGATTGCTAACACCATCTTGATTTGCATTTGGCTGTTTTGAAGGCGACGACATGCTACTATAATTTATTTCTCGCTTTCTAATTTTAACTAGTGCTTTTTTTTGATTGTCAAAAAAACAACTATATTATTTGATGCATACGTGGATTATGTAAAATAATACTTTTTCCCTTTGGAGGATCCTTTGTGCAGGAGAAAAGAGAGATGTCCAAATACAAACTTGGTATCTTTGCTATTAAGAATGTAGTATATGCGCGAAGCAAAAAAGTAAAAACAAAAAAAAAGGTAAGTCAATTAGAGTATTCTTGGCGGGCGTTTGATATTACTATTGATAGAAAATGAAGGAACTCTGTCTACTTACTAACACACGTGTGGCACGGGAGAGATTAATTCAGGAGCAGGAGAAGGTTTCCTTATTTTTTTCCACAGTAAAAGTTATATAAATAGAAATATATACTTTTTTATATATACAAACCAAAAAGGGTTCGCGCGCGCGCGATTTGTGTCAGAGAAGGGGGAGGATAAAGAATAATTGTTATTATCGTTATTATTACTATTTTTTTTAGCTCAGTGTGTGTATGTGGGTGGATGGGTAGAATATGTATAAGGTTTTTTTTCTTGGGAGTAAATTATTATATAAAAAGAAAAATTAATTAAGAAACGTGTGGATATAAATACAATTATATATTTATATGTTATATGATATGGTACGAGAGAAGAAAAATAAGTAGGATAATGAAGGCGGAAGACTACGAAGAGGAGCTACCTAAGTTATTGATGCTAAAAATAACTAACAAAAAATAATATTAATAATAATAATAACAATCTTTTTGAAATAATGATTAATTGTGTACTGTGTAAGTGTAAGTGAAGCAAAGAAAAAAGGTTAATTACTACCTACTTAATACTATTTTTTTAGTATGTAGATAGTATTTTTGTGTGATGAAACGAGAGGGATTTGTGTTGATTGCGTTATATTGGTTGGATGGATTGGATGGAATTACTGAATAAAAAAATTCTTACAAGTTGAATTAACTTTTTTTCACTTGTAAATCATCCTTATCCCTAAATTTCTGATTGCAGTTTATCGTTATAATTGATGCTTTTTATTACCTTATGCAGGTTTGTATGTATGTAATGTGTGTGTGCTTCCTTACACGGAGCCACGGCTATTTTCGGTTATCGTTATGCTTATACTTTTCTACATGTAATTGATTGGATTAATGCTAGCAGTAGAATTATTATTTATTCAACATGTCCATCATATATCACGAGATCTCTATCCATAAATCACAACTCCACCGACTGTATTATCTCACGCGATGATACTGGTCTTTATACGTCATAACACGTGGAAAATTCCAAGAAAAGAAAGAAGTAATATAGCCAAGGCAGCTTTATACATAGTGTCTTTCAATGGTCTCATTGTATTAATTTCCAAAAATGATAACAATAGCGTGATCCATTATTTCGTTTTTCTTTCTTCGAGTGAAAAGTTCCTTTTTGTTGTCCATTCTTGGATGGACATCATCACAACAAAACGTGGCTACCATCCATAAAAACAATATCATCTCTAATTGTCTGATGACATTTTTTCCTACAGCTTGTTTTTTTGATTTTTTACACAGAAAACGCAACATCAAATGGCAATCACATGACTTACTGAATACTTGCATATAAATATGAACATTTTGCTGTATTTTAAATTGTAGTTTCATAGGTAATTTGTATTTGATAATAACCGCGCTTAAGCTTATAATTAACCAAGACCTTTATTACTTGGCGGTAAGTGCTTTAAGAGATAAATGCTTGTAACCAAAAATCATTATTAAATTTTGCAACCAGAGCAAAAAACCACATTAGCACGAAAAATAAAAATAAGTATGGTACGAAAATACTTTTAATATGATGGAGCTTTGGCATTATTGACGTAAGTTCAAGTGATATTTCCTTATCGTTATTATAGTATTCGGAAATGGTTATTCTAAAAGATTATTTACAAAAAATTTCGTTTCGTCACAATATCTTGCTACTTCGATATAATCAAATTATAAAATTGAACTATGTATATTTATCTCTGATGTTTCGTTTATTTTGATATCCCGAAACTTATTAGCATCATCTTTTGTATCACGCTGCTACAACTCATTCATGCCTGTAGGCTTTGCGATGCATAATTTGTTGTCATTTGCTGTTATACACTTCATTGAGAAAGCAAACAATACTGTTACGATTTTTGTTTTCTTGAATGACAAAAAATACTATAACGATAATGAAGTTATTAAAAGTTTGAATGTTACTCCCAAAACGCGATTGGGCAATTTTTTACAATCGCAACCACGTTTAACTTTAATTTTTATACTTGTGAAATTTTTTTATATTTTGCAATGTACCGTAAGTGCCTGGTATAAGCAACACTTTTGGGCCAAATTTTGAAGGGGTGGAACAAGTTTCAAACGGTGAATATCGCCCTGACTCAAATGAAGCAATCACCAAAAGTGTTCAGTCTCTATGAGACGAATTCAACAAGTTAGATTGTTGAATAACCGGTTGTTTAGAAATCCGGTCATTCATGATTTTTTAAATAGATCATATTAAGGGGTTGCTTATACATGACATCACATTTTTTCTGTATAATTACATAAAAATATGGCTATTGTTATCATTGCCACGATTCGATTTTCTGGGCTCTTGGTGTTTCAATCATAACCATTAATTATATCTTCCATAAAATCAATCTACAATAAGTCATGTGACCTTGAGATCCGTGCGCAATAAATGCATCTTCTATCGTCAAGATAGGTTATCACTAATACTAATAGATTTCTGTTATTTACTTAGTATGAGAACAATCCTAAAGCAATACAGAACTGATATCCTTTAGCAACCTGGTTGAGTGTCCAATATAGTGTACAATTAATGCTATTATTATAATGTTATTATTATTTAGTTTAATTTTTATATATTAATAATAAAGACAATCAAGTAATAGATATTCTTATTAAAGATATTTTGGATCTAATTGATTACACCTTGTTTTTTATAGCTACAAGATCAGTTGTATTTATAATAAATATTTTCTACTAATTAATATTACAAAATAATAATAAATATAATAAATGTAATATATTGAATATATTTGATATTTTTGATATTTTTGATAAAATTATAAAATTATAAAATTATGTGAATTATGCAGATCATGCAGATCATGCAAATCATGTAAATCATGTAAATTATGCAAATTATAAAATTATGTAAATTATGTAAATTATAATAATAAATAATAAATCACATATAAAATCACATGTATAAGTCACATATAGAAATTATATATTCAAATTACATATTATATATAAAAGTCACATGATTTTCAAATTTATTTAATAAAAATATAATAAATTAAATAATTAAATAATTAAAAATATTAAATATAATAAATTAATAAAATAATTATATTATAAAATATTTAAATTATAATACTATTTTGAGTTTGCATATGAAAGTATTTTAAAATAACAATAATAACTGTATTCATGGTAATTTACTTTGAATTATAACTAAATAGTATTTTTGACAAGATAAAAATAATAAAACTAAATCTAAGAGAAGATTAAACTAAAAGAAAACTTAACCAAAAATTACTAACTTC